AAAAACAGCCTTTTACGACGCGCAATGCGTGTCGTAAAACGCTCAGACGATGCGCAAATGCATGTCAAGGAAGGCCCTGTCATAACGAGAGACGACACGCTTTTGCGCGTCGTCTATAGACGACGCGTTGTTACAACACGCATTTACGACGCTTATTTACGACACGCAATGCGTATCAAGGAAGGCCCTGTCATAAAGTAAGACGACACACATTTGTGTGTCGTAACCTTACGACGCGTGTTTAGGACACGCATTGCGTATCATTATAGCCCGTGTCATAAATGAAGATGACACACATTTGCGTGTCATAAATTTCAGCAACCATTTTCAATATGCATATACGACGTGCCTTTACGATACTCTTTTACACATAATACAAAAATATGTAAACAAATATATACCAAAACAATCAATTTCATCCAATAACATCATGTCAAACAAGTTATCAGAAAATTGTAATACATTGATATTAAGGGGATCTAATTGTACATTGTTATTAAAGGGTTTTCCCTAACTATATAACATGATACTACATCCCTAACTATATAACTGCATCCTTCGTGTCATTGGATTGCCACCTGGTGTACCACGTAAAAATGTTAAACTTGGTTGGGCGGCTGTCCACCGGGCATGGATGGCAAGTAAGGGCTTGAAGCATTAGATGGAACAAAATAAGTTTTATTAATCACACAATCAACAAACTTTAGAAGTAACTTATAAGCAAGTGGGAGTATTGAAGTCTCGAAATTTGCATACATGAGCCTTAAAATCCTTGGCTATCTACACAACAAGCTAGTTTCCACCTGCAACATGGGCAAATATGTCCAAAAACTATTTGAATAACCTAATCATCTTTAAATAGCATCACATCAGCATCATTTCTCTATATCTTCTTCATTTAGACCAAAAAACAATTAAAAGACCTTGAAAACACACATAAATATGTACAATAGATACAAAATAACAACTTAATTGCCAAATAAAATTACTTTACCTGTACACTGATAAGCAATCAACAATTAGCTCTTGAGATATCAATTGATTTCACATCTTCTAACAAGTTTTATTTTTGTAATTTTCGACTTAGTATATTATACTATTATATTTATTTGTTTTATTGTGTTAACATTTCTAAAATATTTAGAAACCGGGTACCCGGTTACGGAACCGCTTCCAACTGGTTCTGATTCCGGTTCCATAATCTAAAAAACCGGTGTAGGCGGTTCCGGTTTCGGTTCCAATATTCTAGGAACCGGCGGTTCCGGTTCCAAATGATTCTTCAAAAGTTTCAATATTGGGATCGTATACGCTAACTGACAGCTTTTAATTTTCCTAAACTAATGCTACAAACGCCTAAGTATATGTGTTTGGTAATTGGTAATGTAGGGAACATTCCTTCTCCAGTGAACCTGAAGATGGAATTAAAATGAGTCAAGTTTTTTAATAAATTACAGGTGGTTCCATTCTGAAAAAGAATTCTCAATCCAAGAATCTGAATTTAATATAAAATATTTTTTCTAAATGTATGTTAAATGTTAGAATATAAGAAAAGAAAAGATGAAAAGTAAAATGACTTTCTATTTCAGTAATAGTTAATGTTACTGTTGTTAACTAAATAGAACTTTTTTAGTACTACTATTTGAACAAACATGATGCCCTTAACTTAACAAACAATCAAACACAGAAAGAACAAAAAATTACATGAATTACTTTATCTGAGTACAAAAAATTGAATAGATTTTTCAAATTATAAGTAAAAAAAATGGAAGTGTATGATGTAATAATGTTGACATTCTTTTTTATATCTTTGAAATTTAATCAGAATCCCAAGTGGAATCCTTCAAGTTTAGAAGAAGTTGAAGCAAGTGAAGTGGAAGCTCTGTTTGAACCATTAGGCTCAGAGGAAGATGAACTTAGTCTTTAGGTTTATATGAAAAAAAATACAAACTTAAGTAGACATTGGGACCATTTCAAAATTTAGTCTAAACTTAAAAGAAGGGTAAGGTTGTCAAACTTGTAGTACTTCAATGACTTTGCAATTGGTAACTGAAAGTCTGAAACATGTACAAAGTTTGACAACCTTACCCTTCATACTCGGAACCTATATCAGATAACTTATCCCTACTGAATTAAGAAAGATAACTTCTTAGAAAGATTCCACAAAGAGGATGTTGGATACCACGACACGTTTCAACAAGATCATGTAAGATTTCCTTAGCAGGACCCTTATTTGACCTAATGTACACATATCCTACTGTACAAAGTAGATATCTAAATGAATGAAAGAAACCAGGAGTATCAAAAACTGATAACCATAATATATAATCAAATCACATCTCTTTTCCTTTGCAGATTTATTCCAACATCTCATAAGCATAGGCCTTCATAGAAATGATTACTAATTCTATCATAGAACTTTTGTAACTAAAGAATAGTAGCAAGTTATCTTTGCATTACTAAGAAATATTACTACCTAAGTACCTAACATAGTACTAACAAGAGGTAAACGGATAAGGGTTTCTAGTTTCCCACTTACAGTCTCGGCAATAAGTCGCCCGCATGCTGCACAAGTCCATACAGCTTAATAAAATTGTATTAGAATCTTTCATGTTTCAAGGTCCAATCTTCTACCAACACATCTATCAATTAGAATTTCATCAGGGTCCTGCGTTTAAGGGATTAAATTATAACATATAAATAATTAATAAAAAGATGTGTTAATCTTAGAGTAAATTACATGAATGGTCCCTATGGTTTAGGGTAATTTGCACGTTTGGTCCCTAACTTGTTTTTTTAACTCGGAAGGTCCCTACTGTTTGCTTTTGTTACGTGCTTGGTCCCTGTCTTACCTAAAAAGACTATTTTTGCCCTTGATTTTTTAATTTATTTACGTAAACAAACCTCCAACCCCACCCCCTCACTTTACCTTACACAACCCACTATTTTTTCCTATTTAAATAATTGTATTTGTAGGTAAGACAGGGACCAAACGCGTAACAAAAACAAACAGTAGGGACCAAGCGTGTAATAAAAACAAACAGTAGGGACCTTCCGAGTTAAAAAAATAAGTTAGGGACCAAGCGCACAAATTACCCCAAACCATAGGGGACCATTCGTGTAATTTACTCTTAATCTTATTATAACTTACATCTAGAACAATGAAGACATTTGGTCTGTTCTTCATCTTCTCAAGTGATTCTGCTTGGCGAAAACTGCGTGGAAAATCATCTAAAAGCCATCCTTTTTGTTTTGTATCATCTCTTGAAAGTCGCCCAATCACCATCTGTAAAATAAAGTGTTTGTTTATCTAATCTGGAAAGAAATTGAATGTGATTTAAGTTAGTGAAATGATATTATATACATTTGCGACAAGTTCATATGGAACAGGGCGTCCTGAATTCATCTACTCTTTTGCTTAATTTCCAGTCTCAGAACCTACTGCTACTTCACTTCTAAGTAGACCTCCAGTTGATATGTGAATCGTATAATGTTTAAAACCCTAACTCACATGCATATTTCCTGTTAACAGCACGAAAAGCACCAAACCCACAGTCGCTATCACAATCGCAAACATTAGGCGTAGATGTATAAACCACGCTTCGTGAACGCCATAGGAATAGATAAGGAACTCATAATCCATGTGTTTTTGTGAAGGAGGGGGGGGGGGGAATGAACTAGGGTTAGAATCGAAGGAAAGGAAATGTATATAGAATGTAATAAACCGGGCCACTCTGTCGGAACTGAAGTACAGTTACGACTGATTCTAGGGCCAGCCACTCTGACGATGCTAACGAGAGAAAATCTAGGAATAAAAGAAGGTGAATCGTTGTTTGTAAACAACATACTCCATTTGAATACGTATGTGAAGGAGAGAAGAGGTTACATGAAAATGATACTTCATGCGATCAAGAAGTTAGGGCCGACATTGCTAACGGTGGCGGAGCAAGACGCGAACCACAACGGGCCGTTTTTTCTCGGGCGATTTCTTGAATTGTTACATTATTATTCGACGATATTTGATTCATTAGAAGCAAGAATAGGGAGAAACAGTATGGAGAGGATGAAGACTAAGAATCACTTTGTGGAGGCTTGTCAGCCAAGAAATCGCCCTTTCCTTTTCTTCTTGGGCCGATTTATTACATTCCATATACAAGATAGTGGTGGTCTGTAACATGAAGGGGGGGGGGGGAGAGAGAGAGAGAGAGAGAAGAGAGAGAGAGAGAGAGAGAGAGAGTCTGATCGAGGTGAGCATTCCTGTGGAAGGAGGAGACGCAACAGGTAGGGTTTTTAATTTTTTCGATTTCATTTCCCCTACTATTAAAAAACGAAAACGTGCGTGCATAGACTAAAATTATAAAGCGACAGGGTAATACGACACGCTTTTTAGGATAGGTGCCCTCTGTGTTTTTAATTTTTTTGTTGGAAACTAATTTTAGGGCGCGCACAAATGCGTGTCCTCTATCCTTCAAATTTGCAAAACTGACATTATTTTTTAGAGCACGCACAAATACGCGTCCTCTATCAACGAGTGTCATTGTTTGCGCACCATTAAAGGGTTGTTTTCTAGTAGTTAATAAAGGTATTAATTTATGGTATTTTTGCAAATATAGTGCAATGAGAAACAATTTTTCATGATGAAGATGCATCACATCAACAAGATAACTGACAACACCCTCATGATTTTATTAAGCTTCCCGTAGTATCTTATATGGGTTTAGGAAATCACATTTGTTCATACGTGTTCGAACCATTGAATGTAGAATCCTAGAAAAAAGTGTGTTATAGTCAACTAAACTCTTTGAAGCTACCTAATCATTATGGCAACACATAATAGTTTTTGAGGTACTTACATATGCCAAGTTGTTATAATGGAAAGATCTGTTGTTTGTTTTATCAACAAGCGAAAATAATCTTCACGTGTAACCGAAAAATGATATGTCCCGACTTGAAATATCCCAAAATCAGCTACGATGTTAACCACTTGGTTGGTCTTCAAATTATCACGAAAAAACTCGATTGGTCTTGCTTTGTTGGTTGTTTGGCCAGGCATGTTCTTCGTACCACCCCCTGCGGTTGCTGGTATCAAACTTGTGGTCGCATTTTGTTGCTTTGTTCGTTGTTCCTATATTGATAAACCATTTGATATATCTCACAAATATGATACTTGATGTGTATATAATATCTAAAAAGGTAAAGAAAAATAAAGATGTACATGAATGATAACAATTGCAATCCGTGGCCATTGAATTACAGTACCGACCGCATGGTGTAGCTTATTAACTTCTTGTATCTTGACCGAAACATGAACATTTTTAAAATCTTCATCAATTTTTTCTATTAAAACCTTCAAGTGATTTTCATGAAGAGGAAGTGAGTGGATTAAGCCATTATCATACGGAAAGACCAACCCTTTGGCACGTTTTAGGTTCATTTCCCCATATGGTAACACCAATTTGCATTGAGTAGGCACGCGCAAACATATAGCACAAAGTGTATTACTATTTTTTTAATTGACATATGGTCATGAATTACATCAATATTAACATGTGGATTGCTTTCTATGACTCACCAGATACTTTATTAAGCACAATAACAATTAGAAACTACAAGATATATAAACAAAAATCTTTTTTTGTATATATTGGACAATTGAAAATGCAACTTTTTGATTGGATACACATAACTATAAAAAGTATACAATTTCAAGAATGGTAACACTAATGAACTACCAATGTCATGGCCAACCGCCCTTATACGACCAGGGTGCTCCGGTCCTATCACATTTGTCAACAAATCTTCTCTAGGAGTAAGCACCAGATCTCCTTTGGATATTTTAGCTTGGACATCTACCTGTTAATAAAAACAACAGAATTGTGAGAGCAATTACTTAGAAATGATAAATATATACATATATAGAAAGAATATTCTTACAAGCTTTTCAACTATAGGGTGTATTTTCGGTGGGATTATGTTTGACCCGGACTCATTTTTAGATCTTCGACCCATGACATAATCTCTTGAACGCTCACTTTTTATCTCATACAATTGAGACGACAACTCACCAGATGCCATCACTTTTTGTAACTGAGGTTTCTTTCCCCGATACCCATGTGGGACTACTCGGGTCGGATTTGTATTATGCTTCGAACTCGTGCTTGCTTTCTCACTTTGTTCCTGCAAATAGAATTAACGAACACAATTAAAACATTGCAATATAATAAGTAATATAATTAAGAGACATTAACATGAAATTCCTTTGATGATATCCTCTCTTTAAAGTTTTGCAATGCAGACTTGTCCAGAAATGGGTAGATAACAAATTCATCTCTTTCATCACTCAAAATAACTTTTTTAAGCCTCTTCTTGAATCCTCTCCACTAACTGTTGCATGTTCTAAGAACTGATGCTTTGTGATTGTCATTTTGAATATTCCAACGGCTCTATTTTTTGTTATAGAGTAAGAAAATTAATCATTAATCACATATCTTAATCTGATGAAAGAACATGTAATTGATCATAGGTAAAAAGAAACCTTAATAGTCTGCCACAAATTATCATTTTCAGACCGGCACTTTCTTCCAAATCGGAAATTTGACAGAAATTAACATCCTTGTGATTGCACCACACACATTGGCGAACTTACTTTGTTTATTCCCAATATGTTGACCAATATTGTTGAAATCAACTTCTTGTTGCTCAGTATGGTCAAATAGTCGTTTAGTTGTTTTTTTTTCTTAGGTTGTGACCCTGGCTGGGGTTGTGGTTGTGCTTGTTGTTGCAGCTCATCATCCATCGTATTTATTCTATTGGAAATTCATAAAAAAAACACGAGAGCAAAAGAGTTGCATATGTATAAGAAATAAGCAGAGTTAATGGTGTTTTGGTTTAAATTTCTATGAAGCAGATGTATGAAATGATATCGTATTCTTGTTTTTTCCTTTCATGTTTCTAAACGCATGTTAAAGAGGTGCAAATAACATAATTAAATCAAGAAACCGGTCGAAATTGATATACATAAAGAATGAGTATCAATCGAAATGGTACCTCAATAGCATGCTCTAGTTTGTGGCGATAAAGTTTTCGGTTCGAGTTGTTTCATAGTATTAGAGTCTTTGATTGTTGCGACTCTAGTGAAAATAGCGGCCTAAGCTTCGAATTCAAGTTGTTTTATGAAATTAGGGTTTTCGATCGCTGGATTCTAACTTTCTAAAGTGGTCGCAGTCGTAGAGAGTCGTATACCAGGTCAAGTGGCAGGATAATGAAAATCGGTAGGCGGGATAAGAAAAAATGATGGAGGGATATCGAAAATTAACAGGCGGTGTTTTTTTAATGTCACGCATATATCCCCTTTGTTTTATATAGTAATAAATCAAGGTTTTGATTTTGTTTTATAAGGTATCAAATCACTTTTTTGCTTTCCACTCCAATTTATTATGTTGACTGAATCCACGACTATTTTAAACCCTAATAAAAAGGTACATAATTCTTAAATGCAGTAACTCACTTTTCAACTGCCGTACAGTAGTCAATTACCTCCTCTGCAACATATCTTTCAACAATACTGCCTTTTAGTCAATATCGATTCCTTACATACCTTTTTAAGACACCCATATATCTCTCAAATGGATACATGTATCGCAAGAATACCGAACCACAATACTTTATTTCTTTTACAATATGAGATATCAGATGAACCATGACATCAAAAAATGATGGTGGGAAATACATCTCGACTTGGTATAAAGTCATGATAATATCACTTTCCTATGAATCCAACACATCAGGATCAATAACTTTTGAATGACTCATGTTGAAAAACAAGTATAGCTTTGTGATTGTGTGTCGGAAACGGTTTGGTAGTATTCCACGAAATGTAATCGGAATCACATGCATCATTAAAACATGACAATTGTGGGACTTCATACCCATCAACTTTAGTTCATTCATCGACACTGATCTTTTAATGTTGGCGAAATAGCTAGATTGAACCTTTATGTCATGCAAGCATTGACAAAATTTTGTTTTTTCAGCCTTCGACGTTGTATAACAAGCTACTGGTAAATATGTGCGCCTTCCAACATTCTCAATAGGAGCAAGCTCAGGTCGAATTCCCATTTTGATCATGTTGTTTCGAAATTTTACCCCATCTTTTGACTTTCCCTTGATATTCAACAATAAGGCCAACAAGCTTTCACAAACATTTTTTTTCAATATGCATGACATCAAGACAATGTCGGACATGTAAGTGCTTCCAGTATGGTAAATCCCAAAATATAGATTTCTTCTTCCAGATTTTCTTCTTTGGAGGACCAGTACCATTACTTTTACCTTTAACTTTAACTTTAACTTTAACTTTGCCTTTTCCTTTACCTTTACCTTTATCGTTGTTTTTTTCTGAACTGAATGTCTAGATTTTTAACTCGGGAAAAAATTGTTTCTCCTTGTAATGGTGGTCTTGCTATCCGATTCTCAGTTTTACTATTGAACATCTTTTTTTCCTACGATATGGGTGATCATCTAGAAGAAATCTTCGATGATCCATGTATACAGTTTTCTTACAATTTTTCAACCACAACGACTGTGTGTCATCTTCACAAATAGGACATGCTTTTTCACCTTTTGTACTATATCTTGACAAATTTCCATATGCTGTAAAATCACTTATGGTGCAATAAATCATGGCTCGAAGTTGGAAATTTTGTCCACCATATGCAACATACACTTCGAAACTTGGACTCCACAACTTTTTCATGTCGTTGATTAATGGAGCTAAATACTGGTTGTCTTGGACCTTGAATTAACAAGGATATCATGATGTATCTTCTTTTCATACATAACAAGGTGGAAGATTGTAGATGTAAAGAAGAACTGGCCATGTACTATGACGACTACTTAGGCTTCGAAATGGATTGATTCCATTAGAACTAAGTGTAACGCCCCGATTCTCAGGTATTGATTTTTATATAAGAATTTTCTCGATATCAAGGTCTACTCGACGAGTTGGTTGCCCTACTCATCGAGTAGCAGCAGGTTGGTCCACGAAGTTTTAATGACCTACTCGTCGAGTTCAAGAAGGAACTCGACGAGTAGGAGCTGACAGATGAAACCCTAAATTCCAGGGTATTGCACCCTATTTAAAGGATCATTGGCCTCCCCCAGCCTCCCCTTTACAACTCCTTGACACCCTTAAACCCTAAATCGTGTGTGTGTTAATGCTTGGAAGAGGGATCTTGGTGAGGAAACACTTGGGGAAACAAGTAAATTGAAGCTAAGAACTCGTGGGAAGCAAAGATCTACTTCAGTTTGCACTCTCTTGAAGGTATTAGGCTGTCTCCTTGGCTCATTTCATCTTTAATCTCTTTTGGGTGGGTTTTAGGAAAGGTTTCTTGTGTTTGAGTCAAGATTTGAAGTTGCAACTTCAGATCTGGACTCCCTTTGGCCTCTAGATCCATAAAGTTATCAATTTTGAGCCTTCCCTCAAGTGCAAGACTCTTTGCAAGCTTAGTCTTGTCATTTTGAGGCTTTAGAGCTTTGCATGCATGTAAAGTTTGCAACTTTACGTGATAACCATGCCTTGGGAAGCTGGATCTACATTTTGGAGCCTTTGCATGGCTTAAAAATCTTATGTATGGACGAAGGTCTGAAGAGACTCGGTGAGTAGCATGGGTTACTCGGCGAGTCCGATGAAGATTGTCGTGAACTCGGCGAGTCGGATGGGGTCTTCCCAACTGTTGGACATATATGAACTTGGTGAGTTGCAAGGGGAAGTCGACAAGTCGACCATGAAGTTTACGACCGCAAACCTCAGGAACTCGATGAGTCACTCTAGTGACTTGGCGAGTTGGTGAGTTATGCATGGAACTTGGCAAGTAGTTGAGGGTACTTGACGAGTTGAGGTCAACATGGACTGTTGACCTCGACAATTGACTTTCACTTTGACCAAGGATTGACCAGTTGACTTCTGGGGACATTTTGGGAGATTGGAAATTTAGAAGTATGGGTTTCAATGATTATAGGTGGTGGAGTTATTGGCAGTGATCCGGGAGTTTGAGCTTACCTTGCGAGTCACCAGTTTCCAGGTGAGTTATCCTCACCATACTCAAGGGTCTAAGGCACCAAGGCCGACCCTTTGGATTGTTACATGGTTATGTTATGCTAGTATGATCTGTTAGATCGGTATCCTAGAGGGTAGGATAATATTATGTGGTATGTGCTATGATCTGTTAGATCGGTATCCTAGAGGGTAGGATAATATTATGTAGTATGTGGTATGATATGTTAGATCGGTATCCTGGTGGATAGGATGGTATTATGTGCTATGTGGTATGATCCGTTGGATCAGTTGTTTTCTATAGACTGTTATGTGATTATTTGTTATATGTGCACATGTTTGTTTGGCGGTCGAGGCTTCTCTACTTTGTGCGAAAGCCAATAGATCTGGGCATTCCAACCTGTTGGTTGTGGGTTGTGAGTATTCCATCCCGAGGATGACCAAACTCATAGTATGTGGGCATTCCAACCTATTGGTTGTGGGCGTGGGGTATTCCATCCCGAGGATGATTGGACCCATAGTATGTTGGCGTTCCAACATGTTGGTTGTAGGCTTGGGGTATTCCAACCTGATGGTTGACTGGACTCATAGTATGTTGTTTATGATTTTATGTATATTATCGTGGGTATGGGTATTTTTTTTTGTGGGGGGGGGGGGGGGTAGCTCACTAAGCTTTCGGGCTTACAGTTCCAGTTTGTTGTTTTAGGTACTTCTGGTGATCGAGGAAAGGCGAATGCATGATCATACCACTCCTCCTGTTGTTATGTTTTTGTGATTGGAAACAGGGATACTCTGATAATTATTATTTTGAAAACAAATTATGTAATGATTAAACGTATCTTTTGTGTGTTGAAAAGTTTTAAATTGACTTAAATTTTATGGGTGTTACAATAAGTCCACAACGAATATTTCTAATTTCTCGACCAAAATCTTCAAAATCAGAATCTATATTTCTCCATTGAGGAGAATCTGCCACATGTCGAATTTTTCCATCTCTTTTATGTTCCTTGGCATGCCATCTCATCAATTTTGCATCTTTGGCATTTGCAAATAAGCGTTTTAACCTTGGAATGATAGGCAAATATATATATATATATATGAAAACCTTTTTATTTTTGTGCCGCCAAAAGAGCGTTTATAGGATTCTCACGTCGACACGTCACCCAACATTGAAACGACGCCAGTCAAATCGGTGACAATGAGATTAAGGCGAACCGGCAACTTTCTTTCCTCAGGGTTTCCAGAAAATGATGCATTGAATCGACACGGCCTCTCATACGCTTCTTGAAGACAAAGGATATATATATATATATATATATATATATATATATATATATATATATATATATATATATATATATATATATACACCCTTATCGGCCATCATTCTGTCTCGATTGATCTTCAGTTTGACGTAGGCCTCTCCTTCTCAATTTCTGTTATCGTCGTTAATGTTTTTTTTTTTTTTTTGTTTTGCAGGGTCTATGGAGTACTCCAGAGCGGGGGTTTGTGATGTTTTTTCTCCCGCCAACACTACATGTACACAGTTTCGATGACGCTTCAAAACATAACTTCAGAACGTCCATCAACCTCATTCCCAAAAGGTATTGCCTCATTTTCCTCTGGGTCTTATCGATTGAGTGTAATACGCAATTGATTTCATTTTCCTTTCATCACATCATTTTAAATAAGGGTTAGGGTTCACCGACTATTGATTCTTACAAAATCATTGTTTCTCCAATTCTCTGAAGAAAATTGTGTTAAATTTGGAATATATCAAGGTAGAGTACAATTGTTTTCAATTTACTTTCTGTTTAGATTGCGATTACAAAATGGAGGCGCTCCAACTTACTGGTGTCCACTCCTGGTGTCCACATATGATTTCTTCAGTTTCAATTTGTTCATCATCCTGAAGTAAAAAAAATTGCTTTTATTAAAAAAAAAACTCCTACTTGCCTCGTTATTTCATCAACAATCTCCTTAATTCTAATTTCCCTTTTCAGTTTTTTTGTTCCCCTTTGATGCTCAGTTTCTTTATATATTCTTAACCCTGTCATAGAAGAAGGGATGAGGTGCGATCACTGGCAAGCATGTGGTTACTGTAGATGGATTGAATTTTGAAAAGCTCTGTTATTTCGTTCAAGATTATTCTGTTTTCATTAGTACCTAATTCCCGCCTTGATTATATAATTGCTCAACCAAATCTTCAAACGAAACTTCATCTTCCGTACCCTATATTTGCAGGTATTTGCTATTTCGTTGGGCGT